CATGGAAAGTGAACACACCCCACTTTGGGGGGCAGGGAGATCAGCAGGGGCCCAGCAGCTCCCAGGGGAGCAGCCAAGTCCTTTGTCCTACCCGCGATGTAACTCCAGAGGCACCTGCTCCGGGGCCCAGCCTAGGGCCCCTCTGGGTCCACAAAGGGACCATTGTTCTCTACCGAGTGACATCATTCCACCGCCAGGACGGGTGAAAAGAGACCTGAGGTTGGGAGGGGCCTAGCCAGAAGAAAACTGTCTGTCCCAGGGACAAGTGACATCATGCCAGTCCTGGGGTGCAGCTGGAAGCCTGGATACATGGCAGGGGGGCTCTGGGTGGGCAGTGGCAGGAGAGAGAGAGAGGAGGGGCTACGTGGCTGAACTGATACCTCTGCGGGACCAGGATCCAGGAGAGATGCAAAAACCGTGCCCGGTACATAGTAGGTGCTTAAGAAATGCAATGTGTCTGTGCCTGGTACACAGAAGGCACCCAATAGAAGACGAGACACCCATGCTGGGAACACAGGAGGTGCTTAATAAGTAAATAACTAAGGCTGTTCTCATCCATCATTCCACACAGGCCCACACTGATGACTGCACGTTCTGGTCCATAACCTTCGGAGAGTAGGACTCAACACCCTCACCAGCGGTCCCAGCCCCGGGTGACCAGGCCCTATCCATCTCCTTGTCATGCTCACAACCCTGTCTCACTGTGTCACAACCACTGGCCTTCTGTAGCTCTTCCTGAACACCAGGCTCAGCCCTGCCGTCGTCCAACGCTCCTCAGGCCTCCTTGGCACACTGAGCATCACCTCATGACTCCCTAACCGCCCCTGCTGCCCCCTGGAGCCTCTCTGTGCTTCTTCTGAGGCCAGAACAATGAGGGAGGTCACCCACTCCCTAGTGGTTTCTTTCCTATACCTGTTTCTAGTAGCCCGGAGAAGCAGAGACCACTCAGGTGGCACCTGACAGGGAGGAGATGGCTGGTGACTGTAAGATCTTCTCTGGCGCGTGCTCACCTGCCTCTCCCGGGACAGACCCCAGACTATCCATGTCCTAAAGACCACTCTCCTTGAGCCTTGGTTTATTCCAGGGCAGAGGCAAGGACTCAGGGTGGAAGGGAGGTAGGGCCAGACCACAAGGAAAGAAGTCATGGCTTCCCGGGCCAGGTGAGGCAGGGGGATGACCTGGCCCTCAGGCTGCTGGATGGACTGTATCAGACAGGAAGGACCTGGTGTGGTGGCTAGGACAGTGGCCCCAGGGAGGCAAGTGTGCTCTACTCAGAAATAAAGGTCTCCACAGATCAGTTAAGCTAGGGACTTGGAGGCAGAGTCACCCTGGGTTATCCAGGTGGCCTGGGAGTGTCTTAACTGACGGGCTTCCACCACAGCTAAGGGCAGCCTGGGCAAAGGTGGCGGGCTCCAGACCTGCGTGCGGGGGGCTTGCCTGGAAAAGTACTCAGGAAGGGGCTGGCTCTGCACTGAGATGTGGGGATGCAGAGAGGGCCGTCCCCACGCCATCCATGGCGTGCTGGGTGCCGGGTGAGAGCACCTGGAGCTGACAGAGCGTACCCGAGGCTGCGCACAGACCACACATACACTGCACCAGCTTACATGGGGGACTTGAGCATCTCAGACTCGGGTACCATGAGGGTTCCAGAACCTGTCCTCATAGCTGGGAAGGGATGGCTCCTACAGCAGGGATTCTTAAGGTAGGAGGCGGGCTCAAATCACCCGCCAGACAAGTCAACAGGGGCGTCCAGTTCACAGATGGGAAGAGTGAGGCAGTAAGGGTTGGTTTGACCTGGATAAGGTCATCAGCCCAGGTCCACTCCAGCTTTGGGCAGCATGCAGAGCTCTTCTAGTCAGCCCCCTCCACTGCACACACACACACACACACACACACACACACACACACACACACACATACAACTCCACACACACACACACCACACATACCACACACACACACACATACACCATACACACCACACACACACACACATACACCATACACACCACACACACAGACATACCACACCACACACACACACACCATACACACCACACACAGAGACATACCACACACACATACAACTCCACACACACACACACCACACAAACACACACACCACACACATACCACACACACACACACACCACACATACCACACACACCACATACACATACCACACACATCCATCACAGACACACACACCACACACATACACACATCCATCACAGACATACCACACCACACACACACACACACACACATACAACTACACACACACACACACACACACACACACACACACATACACCATACACACCACACACACACAGACATACCACACCACACACACACACACATCCATCACAAACACACACACCACACACATCACAGACACACCACACACACACACACACACACACACACACACACACTCTTCTGGTTCTTCCTCATGTCCAGGCCTCCTGAGACTGACACCCGCTGTGTACGTCTGTGTCCTCCAGGCTCCCATTCTGTCCCTCCCGCCCTGGGTTCTCTGGGCCTCTAAGACATCCAGCCTCCTTTCCCTGCACAGTGACCCTTCCTGCCTCCCTCCCGGAGCCTGGAAAAAGCATTGTTTTATTTTCTTCCTTTCTTATCTGGGACAGCTAGAGGCCAGGCACCAGCCAAGGACTCAGAGCCGGCTTGGGGAGAGATTTCCAGCCAGGCTGCCACAGATCCTCCTGCAAACACAGCTTGAGGGCCTTTTCTGGATGAACAGAGCTGAGGGAGATGACGGAGATTAATCCTGTAGGAGGACCAATGCCTGAAGCCCCACCCCCGCCTGCCTACACGTTCTGAGGCTTTAGGAAGCTCCCACCCATAAGACAAACATTTAAGTGAAGTTCAGAGTGAAAGGGGTGTGTGTGTGTGCAGATTCTCCGCTTTGTTGGAAACCTCTGAAGGCATGTTGAGAGAAATGACTTGGTTGTCTCACACACGAGCCAGGTGTCACACCCACCGCCTTGTCCGCCCAGCACCCCATTTCTCGAAGGGCAGAAAGAAGGTCCAGAGAGGGCAGAAGGCCTTGGCTCGCCCAAAGTCACCATCTGGGAGGCGGTGGACTGGGATCCAACCTCATGCAGGGGGATCTGTCGCGAAACACAAAGCCCCACACCACACAGTAGGACAGCTCGGTACCCAAGAGGTTGGCAAGTGCTCACCCACTACATGCCGGCAGGGTGCTGACGGCACACTCCATCTCAGAACAAGAGCAGGGTCCCCTCACTGGACAGAGGGAAATCGAGATTTGAGAATGGGTTGAGCCCATGCCAGCCATGCCTCTCACACAGCAGAGGCCAACCATAACTGGGAGGGACCTGGAAGCCCACACTAATTCAGCATGTATTTACACCGCCCGGTGTCCCCTGTGACAGCGAGGGGCTGAACTCTGTGTCAGTCACTCATGCACTTGCGTGGCCACCAGGGAGGCTGGCCTGTCGCTGTGTGAGCATGTTCCAGAGGCCCAGAGATGTAGGACAGTGTCCAAAGTCACACAGCTCCTGAAGGATTGGGGCAGAGGACAGGGAACAGAGCCAGTGTCCCCAGACAGAATCCTGGCGAGCGGGGCACAAGAAGAATGGACAGGGCCAGAAGGAGACACAGAGAAACTGAGACACACAGAGAGAGATTATCTTCCTTCAGCCAAGTTGCACCTTTCAGAGAAGGGATGGGACCCCAACGGAGTGCAGACCCCGACACAAGGAAGCACCCTCACCCATGTGAGCCTCCTAATATGGCTTCTGGCCTGGGTGAGCCCCTGCCTGGCTGCTCTGTGACTCAGGCCAGCAGAGGAGAACTAAGTCCCTGCAGTTCTGGGGGCAGCTGTGAGCTCCCGGGGACCTCACTGCGCAGAGGGCCTGCCCAGGGTTCCCTCGCCCAACACTGGTCCCATAATGGCCACTGGTTCTGGTTGATACAAGAGCTGGCTCAGCCGGGTGCCTGGCCTCGAATGCTCCTGAGAACTGGGCCAGCTCAGGCCAGGGCAGAGGCCAGCTCTCTGAAGACACAGGGCACTCTAGCTAAGCTCAATCCTGGTTAGTGACGTGATGAGCTGTCCCCGAAGTTATCAAAGATCAGAGAAGCCTACCTCCCGGCCAGACTTCACGCACCTTGCTGTGGGTGCCCATGCAGACACCCTTCCTCCTCCAGGCCTGCCTGATGTCACTTGCTCGGCTTTTCTACTGGCTGGTTATTATCGCCTTGGTCTCCCAGCCCTTAAATGAGACAGCATGGAACCCGATAGCTGGGCCTGAGCATTCCACCCTCACCAAGCCTGAGCTCCCAGGCCAGTGAGATAAACCACCTGCTCCCTGCTCCCCCCCCCCCCCCGCCCCAAGGCTCTTCCCCTCAGAAATCACTCAAGATCTCACTGTCGCTCAATGGCACACAGATCACAACGTTAACTCGGCATGCCTATGACAAGACCACTTGGTCACCCTGGGCGGGCAAGGGGAGACAGAGCAGGTGTCAAGTAAGCGTCCCTAAAAATAGAGGTGTGAGCATGTGTTGTGGGGGCCCGCAGTGTCCTGAAGCAGCCCTGCTCACAGACAAGGAGACTTGAGTTGGTTCCCCCTTGGCGTCGAGGAGGAGGGTGTTGCACCTCCAGGGCGGCCAGCCCCAGCCTTCCACTTCCCACCAGTGTCCCAGGACCCACTCTTTCACGGGCAGGGAGAAAGTCCTTCCCCGGCTGCCTGCCGCTGCAAGTCGGCCCCCTCCCAGGTGTCCGAGGGAAGGGACCTTCCCAGGGTGGCCTTGCTATTTTAAACCACCACAACGTATCCCCAGCTTACGAGATCGGGGCCTCGGAGTCCGGCTGCCTCTTCCTGAGGGATGAGAACCTCTGCTGGCTGCGGGCGGAGAAGCGACGGAAGGACTCCCGGCTCCGAGAGGCCAGGTGTCGGAAGGAGGAGGTGCGCTTGAACGGGGTGCGGCTGGCCGTCTCCCCGCTCCGATCGGTGCCCACCGTGGCTGTCACAACGTGCAGGGCCTCTTGGAAGGACCGCCTCACTGTGCCTACCCACTGAGTCATGTGCGTCTGGGCCACCGAGAGTTTGTCGCCCAGGTAATCCATGAGGCCAGCCTGGAGGAGTCGGGGGGGGGGGGGCGGGCGAGGCAGTTAGGAGGCCAGCACTGTCAGCGTCCTGGTCCCTCCGTCCGCGGTGGCTGTCCTTGGGAAGAAGTTCTGGGCTCCGAAGGAAAACCCAGCAGGGCGCATCAGTCCCAGGAAAGTAAACATGGCCCAATAGATGTCCACGGGTCACAAAAAAAAAAAAAAAAAAAAAAAAAAATAGGGACAGTGACGGGTCAGCAGCAAGAGCATCCAGTCAGCCAACCAGGACGTCCAGTTCTAGTCCCCGGGGCCAACGCTGCTGGACTCGAGGAGGAGCAGGTGGCTATGAGGAGCAGGCTGAGGGGGCTGGCACCCCCAAACTCACTTCCCTCCATGCAGGTAGACCTCCCATGCACACCTGGGGGGACCGCCACTCACCACAGAGGGCGGCCAGTCCCCAGCAGGCTCTTCTCACCTGAACCAGTCCCGGAGCTGGAGACTCTAGACCCGAAGCTGAATCTGCCGGCCAGCAGGCAGCGCACTCACTTCCGGAGGGAGGCAGCCACCCGGCCTGGGTCCCCTGGCCCGGCGGGCGGCAGCCGGGAATGACATCAGCCCCCTGTCTTGGCGAGGGGTGCACGGCCCAGGAATGCAGGAGGGGCCTCGGGAGGTGGCCGCCTGGGAGCTGGCGTCAGCCCCAGTTTTTTTTTTTTTTCCTCTCCCCCCCCTAAGTCTCAACTCGCTCGCTCACTGTCCCTCGGGGACTTCATGTGCCAGACTGCCTACCCACCCTAGTCGGCACTGTGCAGAAATGCTGCTGCTGCTGCTGCTGGGCGTGCGGAGTGTGTGCCAACGAGTGTGCGCGCGTGTGGGGGCATGTGCGTGGGAGGCGCGGCTGCCCCGGGGAAGTGGAGGGATGCCGGATCGGGCTTGTGCCTCTGAGGCTTCAGGTGGAGTCTGAGGACCTGTGGCTGGCTGTCGGTCTGTCTCCCTCTCCTGGCGGGCGTCTTCTGCTTCCTCTCCCTGCGTCTGACTACACTTGCGGAGCTCGGGGCTAAGCTGCCTCCACCAGCTCCTCCCCTCTCTTACCCTCTCAGCCGCCCCTGCTGCCTCTCCCGGAGGGGACGCAAGTGACTGGTCCTGAGTTCCCCCAAAGGGTGGATCTGGGGCTGAGAGGTGCCTGCATTTTGGGTACAGGCAGGGTTGCCATGGCAACCTGGGGGGCACAGCATCTGCCCCTTCCCCACGCTGGGCACAGGAGCCATGGGGATGATTCATGTGTTCAGGGGATCACATGAGCTCACTGGGTTTAACCCTTACCAGCTGGAGCATTGGGGGGGGGGGTGTGATAAGACAGAAGAGGGTGAGGACTGGATGGGGAGAGCATCGCGCAGCGGGACTGCAGACCCTCCTGTCGCGATCTACAACCCTCTCTGTCCCTTCTACAGGTGGGGGGAAATGGCAGCTCTGAGAGGCGGGTTCATGTCTCTGAGGTCACACACAGCAAGAAGGTTCTCCAGGTTTGCTCGGGAGAGCTCCCTCTCCATTGCGTGTGCAGGTCGGACCCTGGACCTGGCCCACTGTGAGGGCTCAAAAATATTGACTTTCCAAATGCCAGGCCAAACCCAAGGTTGAAATCCACATCGGCTCAACTGCCTGGTACGATCTCTACACCACCCCCTCGCTCTGTCCCGAATAAATATTTGCTCTCATCCTTGCCAAAGTAAGTTTATCTTGAAGGCCCCTCCAACAGCGTGCAGGGTGAAGGTCAAGATCCCCACATCCTCCTTCTCCCCGATTCCTGCTCCTAATGCCACGCCTCTACAGTCCAGCATCTCTTATTCATTTAATAGCGAGACAGAGTGCGCCTCCTCGGGCCCAGGTACATGGTCACGTGTTATTATGGAGGGTCACAGGGACGTATCATGGCTACTGATTGACATCAAATCTCCTAAGCCTGATGGATCTTTAAAGGATCCCATTTGCTAAAAGGGAAGACTAAGGCCCAGGGAGCTGAGTCACATACAGGGTTGTGTGTAGTGGGCTGCCTCCCAGAGGCCCCCTGAGGATGCCCGCTTATTCTTACACTGGGAGTGCCCCTCCCACAGCATATCAGGGTTGGTCGCCAAGCTCAGCACAGTGAGGCCAGCTCTCCTGGGTGGCTCTGGGGGCATGCGGTGGCAGCCATGTTGGATGCTCAGGTGGAGGCACAGAAAGGCCCACAGGGAAGAGACCAGGGTTCCATGCTAGCACCATGGCTGACCACTGGATGGAGACAGGTGCCCGTCCCAGTCAGACCCCAAGAACAAGAACCGTGGCAAATATCCTGACTAGAATCTCACGGAGACACTAAGCAAAGCCACTCGGCCAAGCTGCCCTCAGACTCTGGGCCCTGATCACAAAGGTCCTGAGGCAAGCCAGGATCTGGTACACAGGGAACTGCAGGGGTCTGGTGGGGCGGGGTGGGTGGGGTGGGTGAAGAGAGGTTGGCTCACAGCAGAGGGAGGGCCTCTGACTGAGGTGAAACTGTGTGCCCAGCAGGTGAGATGTCACCCCAGCCTGCAGCCCTGCATGTAGATAAGGAAGCATGCAGAGGAGGGTAGTCTCACCTCCACCTGGGCCTGGCTCCATCCCCCCAAAGGCTGCTGCACTCACAGCTGGAGCTCCTGGCCTCCACTAAGAATTTATAGCAAACCCCTGTCTCGGGCCTCACAGACCTCCCCAGGTAACCAGAGATATGTAGGAGGCAGGAGGGGACAGACTGTGGCCGCTGACCCCACAGTTCATGAAGGACGTCCCAGGTGAGAATCCACCTTGGAAGAATGCACAGCGGCTGGATGCTACAAATAAGTCTGTCATTAGGTATCTAAGCAGGAACAAGAAGCCGGGTGCTCAGTCAAGAGGGGTGGGCAGGCTGGGTCTGCCAGGGTGTCCGGATCCAGGGGTGGAGGAGGGCTCCGTCACACTGACCTTGCCTTTTCCGGTATTGACTCTCTGTTCTTCATAGGATTTCGCTTTGATTTTTTTTTTAATGTACTCATTTAAACTATTATTTATCTTGATTACTGGTTGTTTTGTTGTTTCCTGACCTCACTGGTCTTACCCTGTCCCCTCCGCACGGATTAGCTACATCAAGTCACGATCGGTACTGGTTTTAGTCAGTTAGTTATTACTGAGCAATAACTAAAAACTCTGATTGCTCTCACAGAGGAAGCCACCAAGCGCATGCTTGTCATGGATGTGGCTGGTTGACTCCTTCCCGTCCCTACTTCTAGAGGGCGCATTTGGCCTTCTGCCCATGCCCATTCTGGTTGTGCCAACCCTAGAACACTGTCTGGCTCAGAGCTATGCACAGGGGCTCACCCCAGTGACCAGCTAGCAAAGAACTCAAAACCCAGGTTCCCTGTCTGCTGGTGGTCTAAGCCAGCCATGAGCCACGCTGGGGGCAGATCTCAGCAGACACCTCTGTGTCCTCAGCTCTGTCCCTGCTCCAGCCTATGCCCAGGCCTCCTCTAACTGGAGAGTTAGTCACCAGCATAGAAGTCCCCACCTGTTTCTGCATATGGAGACCAGGCCAAGAGCTCTCTGCCACCATCCTCACTGTCCCCTGAGCACCAGCTATGGCCAAACACCAGGGCACCCTGTCCCGTATCGTGTATCATATCATGTCACCAGCAGGGTAATGGTGTCGCTGTGATGCAATACTGTGTGACCTCACAGTGCTAAGTCATTACATCATCACACACACCACCCTGTTGCCTTACAGTCACTGGACTGCCTCCCTGTCAGACCTCATCTGTTCCTGCCAACCACACAACAGGCTCCCATTTTACAGATGGACGGTGCAGGGCAGGGACATGACCGGCCCAGTGTCACACCGCTGTAAGTGGTGGAGTCGCCGGCATGGCGCAGGGATCGCGGTGGATCCCGGCATTCAGCCTCCTTCGGAGAGACGGGGAGCAGGAGAGAGCAGGGAGCCAGATGCCTGCTGCTCGCTCTGGCTTCCAGTGGCACCACGTGCTCTGGGAGTGGGGCTATAAAAAGCGCCATTCCTGAATCTGGGGCAGCACAGGCAGTGCCCCCAGAGGGCTGTTTCTGCAAACGTTATTCTCTCCAGGAAACTCTGGGGACGCCGCAGGCATCCTGAAAGCAAACCTCCCTTGCACAGGGAATCTGCAAAACAGGGGGAGCTGTGGGGACCCAGGAGGAACTGAGGATGTCAACCACAGTGTGAGGTGGGACAGACAGCCCTCGGGTCTCAGAAGGAAGACTCTGTCATTCATTCATTCATTCAACCAACACTCCCTGAACAGTTACTCCACATACATCAGTCTGACACGGAACAGAGCTGTGGTCGGTCCCTGCACAGCTCAGTCGCCTCTCTGGATCTAAAGTAGTCGAGGAGGGGGACCCCACAGGCACCTCAAGCCTGGCACCACCACTCCTCCCCAAATCTGGCTCAAGCACATACCCTCGAGATTTCCTGGTTTAGTGGGAGAAAACGCCAAAAGGAACAGCCGGTGTGTCTGTGACCCAAGAGCCAGGGGCCGATGCACAACCAGGGAACGGACAGAGACGATGAGCCTAACCGAGAAACACACTGCTAAGCAAAAGGGAAAGGTTGCAATGAGGAGGTGGGATATCTGGGAGGGGTTCCGAGGGATGAATAGGAGTGCTTCCAGTGCCGAAATGGGAACTGGCTGGGAAGTGTGGCCATATTTCAGTCTTGACACTGGGAGGTTGGCACACTTTAGTTGAGGCCGCCTTCTCGCCCTCTCTTCTCCCTCCTAGACTTCCTCACAGCCTGAGGCTTTCCCACTCACCCAGGAGGTCTCACTTATCTGCCTCTCTTCAGGTTCCAAGTAGGCTAAGGAAGTGGACTATTAGGCAGCTGATAAGAAAGCGGTAATAAAACCATTACCCAAAGGTATTCACAAGCTGGGAGCTGCCCACACCTCTCACCACCGGCGAGTCCTTCACGGCCACCCTCACTTCACAGCAGGGCGGTAAGGTGAGGAGAGAGAGCGCTCCAGGGCCAGGACTTGGGACTTGATTCCAGGCCCCTCTGGCTCCAACACCTTCACTGCCTCTTTCCCTTTCGGGGGCGGAAGTCAGAAGTCACACACTGCATCAGACCCCCCAAGGGGCCCCATCTGCCCCCAAGTCCTTTTCATGACTACGGTCACCACTCTATGTGTGACCCCGAGTTCCTAGGGCTCCCTGGGAAGCCAGGCGCTGCCAACGGTCACAATGCCCACCCCACCCCCCCTTCCACCTAACAGCCTGGAGATGAATCCCCGGGTCCACACAAAGTGGAAGGGTCATGAAGCCCAAGAAAACCCAGTCTCCTTCCCCTTGGACGGAGCTTTGAGGCCCTAGGCCTGACCCGTAGCTGGGGGTCCCCTCCGAGGCTCGCTCACTTATGTTCGGTCTCTGTTCCCTCAAGAGAGGTCGGGAAGGGACTTATCAATCAAGGCAGCACCACATAAACCAGCAATGGGGGGAGGGTCTGGGACCCCCAGCACTCAGGGGGTAGAAGCAAGAGGATCAGGACTTCAGAGTCATCCTTGGCTATACAGAGAGGTTGAGAGTAGCCTGGGCTACATGAGGCCTAAGGTGATGGGGCTAAGCAAACCCAGAGGGTTTGGCCCAGCTCATGGCAAGCCCTCCTGGAGGTGTGCATCCCCAAGAAATTGTCTTAGCTCATCATCTTGTTCAAATGACACCATCTCAGAGGCTGGCCCATGGGCACAGCTCTTCCAGGCCACATATGCTGTCCTGGGCCCCACGGGAAATCCACCGGGTGACTGGTTCCACATGGCAGATGCCTGTGGCCCAGACTCTGATAACCTAGGACTTCCTCTCACTCACCCACTCATCTCCTACTTGCTCCGGACACACTGGACAAGCCTCCATCCTGGAACACGCCACACCGTCCACGCCCTTTCTCCTCCACACGTCCACCATGCTGTCCCCTCCTCCACCCCTTTCACTCCTGGTCCAAGACCAGGATGTGCAATCCAGACATCCCCTTCTCTGAGAAGCCTCCCTCAAACCACTGAGCATGCTGGGCCATGACTCAGTTTACCAGCCAGTTGCTGAGACCCCAGGCACAGTTGGGCTTCATCTGGCTCACCCAGAACCCTCGCAGACACTCCCCACGCCCACCATGTAAACATGAACAACTGAGGCCTGGACCGACTCACAGAACTCCCGGCATCCCTAGGCCGGTTTCCATAGCAACAGGGAAAGGATTCTGATAAGGAGGAAACTACAGCATCTTGGCCTCCACCTTCCAGTCCACCCAGGTTATTTATAACCACGCCGAGCACACGGCCATTTCCTTGTGTTCATTTATCCACGTTCTCTAGCCGTCATTTCAGGGCGCGCTGTTAGTTAACTTGGCCGAGGGAGGGGATCACCCAGAAAGGAGGGCTTTCGAGAAACCAGCGGAGGCGTCGTGCGCCATCCGGCTCGGGTGGGAAGCAGCATTTCCCCCACTGTGGAGTGCTGGGATGTGGCCCTGCAGTGAGGAGGCTGGTCTGGAGTCCGTGGCCCCTCACCGGGGAGCCAGGAGACTGGGCCCAGCACAGAGGAAGGCTTCAAACGCAGCCTTCCTGCCCAGCATCCTGAGCTGCACCTGTCCTCGAGCGAGCTGCCCACTAGCCATCTTTCCACCCACAACTGGATTTCAGGATTTGGGATCAATGAA